GTTGAGTTGGTGTTGATTTGAATTATTCCATACACTTTTGCGTAGTTTATAATATTTTACATACAAAACGTGATGTATCGCTTTGGTATTTTCTGAAATTATCACATGTTTTGCATGTTAAGTGAGAAAAGTAACTAAAGCTGTAGAAGTATCAAGTAGCAGGAAAATGTAAATATTAAGTAAAGTACCTCACATTTCTATTTAAATACAGTACTTGAGTAAAACTACATTCCAACAATGCTAAACCACGCTGCTTAAATAGCTCTAAATATAATCTTGCAAGAAAATAATGAGGGGCTTTTTGGAATTTGACTACTCTTTCCTTGGCTGAATGGACTCTTTTTTTTCGACTGCACGGTTAACCAATAAACATTTAACCAAGCCTTGTTGCCATGGCGTCATATTAAGGCTCGGATCCTCACTATAGCAGCAACTCCCTGATAGACGGACTGAGTGGCTGGATGAATATCTGACACGCTGGCTGGCAGAAATGACTGCTTGTTGTAGCATGTTTAAAGGATTATATGAACGGGAAAATGGCTCATTATGAATTCCCTGAACTCCATGCTGTTTTATTAACAGCAGAAATAGTATGCATCAAACAAAGGAGGGAAATAAAGGGGTAGGAAATAATGATGTTGAATATGTGGATTACGGCTTGAGCAAATATACGGACACAGCAAGAGAAGGAGTGATTTAGCAAAGGGAGGTGAAAGAGAAGGAGTAAATCCCAGAACACATGCTCCATATCTTTTGTCAGTGAAGAGGGTAACCCTCCCTGCTCTCCAGTTACACTGTTGGGGAGCACGTGCTCCACATCTCCCCGTCTAAATGAGCCCAATGTGTCTCCATTAGTGAACCGACTGTAAATTAATCTCTTTGTTGTCTAACAGCCCCGGCAGAGAAGGAATCAGAACAATGAAACCTCTGTGGATAAAAGCGGAAAAATAGCCATCATTATTAGAGATAAATGAGCGATAGGTGACCAAAAATGTGAAATAAATCAATATACCATTTTCACAAGTATAATCTGATACACGACCTGATCTGAGAATAACAAATGATAACAAATCAAGTCTCACAGCACCTATTTGTTGAGCTGTTGGCACACAAAAAAGCAGACTAACAATAAAGATTGAGTGCTTTAAAGCTAGCATAACTGTAATAAATAATGAGTTATTGAATAAGAGATGGATGTGGGTAGAGCTGCAAAAATTTGCTGATCGACAGAAATATAATGATGATCATTCATTTTTTCATGCAAAGGTGCAAGAAAATGTTGTTCAGCCTCTCAAATATTGAGATGTCCTGCTTTCTGTTTCATATCATATTTAAGTGAACATATTTTTCTGGACTGCAAAACCAGACATTTAAAGACATGACCTTGGACTTTGAGTTACTTGATGATCGCATTTTCCCTATTGTATAGACAAAGGATTAATCAATTAATCTAGAAAATGATCGATAATGAAAATATGTGTTGGTTGCAGCCTTAGACCCTAGCCACACGGAGACGGTAACGAAAACGAACCGAATTCAATATCAAAAAAGTCTTCCATCCACACGCAATCTGCACCAGAAACACGTCCGTCCGTTAGAATTTTTTTCCGCCGGTCAACATGTCCGTTAAAGTTTAAATCTTCCAGACAAAAGTGCCAGTCAAAGGTCTTCTTTGTTATTTATTGAGCTTTAAAACAAATGAATAAAGACTCTATATAATAATATAATAATAAAAAACGGAGCCTCTCTTTTCCTCCCCCTCTTCTGACAGCCCAGCAGCTGATCTCTGAGCACGAGAGGTGGGGAGAGGCAGGGCTATTGCTTCAACGTTATTAGGAAATGATCATATAGGGGTAAACATGGAGCCGTTTGCCCCCCCAGAGCGTTTCATTTGCAGATCTACTCACCTTGGGACCCGTTATCGTTATCGCTTTCTGCGTTTCCATGTCGGCCTCGTGTGGCCGAACCGTCTATCTGATAGAGCAACACATTCTCACTCCCAACTCGGCCTATGTTGACGTTATGTCAGGGTCCCTGTCGTCACTTTCCAACGCAAGGGGGGGCCCTTTTGCGTCGAGTTTCAACTATCAGGGAGTCCCATTTACTTGCATAAAGCTCCCTGAACGTTGGTAATAGACGAGTTGGGATCGTGGCGAAATGCTCTCCGCAGATCCATTCTCACAGCGTTTATCAACCTTTTTCTAACTCAATATCAAGCCAAACTTATTGTGTTTACTTCTTTATTTTTAATTGAATAATGTCGGACTTTTGTTGCCGTCAGTTATGGGGAGAGTAGGGGCTCAGAATACTGAAATCTGTATTGTTTCATCGTTGTTATCCTTCTAATGTTGTATTCTTTTCTAAACCGCACACTGTTATTTACTCAACAATAAGATACAATTATCCTTCTGTTTATTTATTTGTTTGATTGTATAATGTCGGACTTTTGGAGTCCCTCATTCGAACACAGGAAGCGTTATTTTCAAAATAAGAGTTCATTTTAATATTATGTTTGATAATATTATTTTTATTAACTAGACCACTGGGTCATGTTAAGACCATCTCTTCTGTCGGTTTGGTGTTACAAATCTAAAAAATATATANGTTCCGGCTAACGTGTACTTTTCACCAGTTTTTCTGCCCTCCCAAAATTGTGGTTTCTTTCCTTTTTTGCGCCAACAACCGGGCTTAAAATTATGTCTTTAACTAGTGACATGAGTGGTCTACACTACAACAAGATTGAACATATTTGACCGTGATTTAATTGTAATACACGTTTCAAAATTATGCCGAAGTAACAACATACTGATACCGGTTTGTAAAAACCATGAATTAATGCTTTGACAAGTCTGCAGACAGACGGCAGGCGAAAAACCTTTTGAAATGCGTGTTTTCTGAATGGAGATCGGCTAAGCTAACGTTGTATATGCTCCGATAGTCCACACTCACAACAACGGCCTACAGACATAAATAAACCAGCGACTGTACTCGCCATGACACAGACAGTCTGTGGTTTGTACTTGTTTAACTTTTGTCTAGTTTCTGAACAGATATGAGGAGCTGTGAGTTCTGAGGGCTAACAGCTAACGGCTGATGTTGGTTTTGTGTTTCGCATTGAAGATGACGTCAAGGCTCTGCCTACACTGCTTTACTATAGTTACTGCCCCAGCTACTAAACTGTAATGGAAATGCAGCATAGCGAGCCTGGCCTACCAAGGCCTAACTATACCGTACTAAGCCGTGCGAGGCCCTGCAGTGGAAATGCGCCATTAATCTCCTCTGTTGGCATAAAAGTCTCTAGTATTTCCGCTACTTTTTTGTTATTATCCAAATGTCACAGGGTATCCCTGCAACTGCCTTTGAAATCTCAATACAAGTCAGACACAATCTTATTTTCACAACAGATTAAAAAGGAGGTATCCGTTTTCCATCCTCAGTGGCTTTGAATAGCATCTGGTTACAGTTAGTTACAGATTGTCAGTGGATAGATTTGGGATTTACAGGTGCGAGTGTGGAGACAGCCTCTGTTGTGCTCTGCAACAACACAACTCCACAAAGCAACAGCCAGACAATCCCATTGTATGTCTGTGTGCGTCAGTAGGGTCAAAGGTCAAGTAGTAGGAGAGTTTTTGGAAGCTTTGCTCAAGTCTAACTCTTTATCCTCTTTAGAATAGCCTAATTTAGTTGTATTATGTGCACATTTTCTTGAATCCTCCTGCCTTTTTGTCTCTTTTAGCCTTCTAGGAACCTTCATACCTGTTAAGTCGTTGTATTGCTAATAGAATATGGGTCAAAGCTAGCTCAGTCGGCATGGGCTTACCAACTCCTGACGGCAACAGCCAGACAAGAGTTGGCGCGGTTCTCCGTGTCGCCCAGGGTTTGATGAGGGACTCTAAAGTTAGCTTCCACTGATACTCAGTCATTACCACAGCCAGGCAGGTCATACGCATGACCAGACCCCCCACTCAGACTCATCAGTCACACCTCATTTATCTCATTTGCCAGCACATCCCCTTCCTGAAGAGAGTATCCCTCCTTTCATTTTACTTAAAACTTTTCAATTAGCATACACCAAAAAAGAGAGTAGGTGTGCAACAATGGTCTTATTGTAGATGAGACAAAGACATAACCTAGGGCTAGGGTGAAATACTTATGATGTCAACTTGCAAAGACAACGATATTGAACAAAGGGATTTTGTTAGTTGAAAAAGAGTATTTGTTAGAAACCGCACTTTGATATTTAAAAAAAACCTTTTTTATTGGTGCCTTTTGTGTTATAGAAGTTATAAAATAATATTGTTTTTTTGTATTTATTTAATTTTAACATTAAGTTGTTGTACTGTACTTAAGCACTAAAGCAGACGGCAGAACTTGTTTAATAGTCGAAATAAATTTGTGCATCCCTAACAAGCACGTGAACATTTTATTTTCGCAAATAATTTTATGAAATTTTAACTTTTTTAAAACCTGATTTGAATAGGAAAAACCGTTCCCAAACAGCTGCTAAACAAGAGTACGGTCTGCCATACTTGATTGGTGAATTCACAGGTGTGCTTTAAAATCTCTTCAGCCAATCAGAAGAGAGAGATCTCTATTCCACGATAAGACAGTAAAGCTGCATCAGCTCTACATTTAGCTACCTGTAGGTGGGGGTGGGGGCTGAAGTTAAACCACGAGGTCTTTAAACATTACAAATGTCTGACATGATGGAGTCTTTGTTTCTTGTCACACTCTTCTTATCTCACGTCTTTCATTACCTCATCGTTTTGCATATGGCCCAGATACTAAAGGCTATAAGAAGCAAGTCTAGGCCAAAAGCAGCCACAAAGGGCCTACATTTAATGTTTATTTAGTAACAGTTTGCCTTAAAAGAGGACAGACAGAGGCTCCAGATCTGATAAACTGAGTTATTACGCTTTACTGTAGAGCTCTATTACTTATAGAGCCCCGGATCGATAGGATCGATCGGTTTGCAGGCCGGTTATTGATAGGGTATTTACCTCACAGTCGTAGAGGTCCGTTAGCTGGTCGATAATCCACTCCTCCAGGTTCAGTCTCTTCCTCAGCTCTTTACGGTCATATTTGACGGTAACGCGTCCCTGCTTCCGAACCGGAATCTCGGGTTCCTCCGCGGTGCCGCCCGGTGTCTGGAAATATACCCGGGGTTGAGGGCTGGTATCAGCCATGGTCACTCGCTTCGGGATACTAGAATCCCCCCCGGAGGTGTGAAGTGTGAAATGGGCGACAGTCAGGAGGCGAAGCGGCTTTTGTTGACGTGCTGGCCTTTTCCTCACTGAAAACAAAACCCCGGCTGATAAATGTGTGACTTGGAATCCCCCGAAGAAACAGCGCTGGACCTGATGCTTTTGTTGTCCAAAGATTGCTCAAAGAGACATTGGCAGGAGCCAGACGTTTCCACAAAACAAACCGGAGCGACCGTTACGGTGAAACGTGAAGAGTAACCGGCTTATTGGGCTATTTACAGCATGCAAACTCTGCTTATATAAAAAGAGAAGAGAGAGGAGCGGAGCTGGCTGAACTCTTCATTCAGTACAAAGAGAAATCACACGCCTCTCTCTCTCTGTCTCTCTCTCTCTCTCTCTCTCTCTCAGCCCCACGAGAGCTGCGTGCGCGCGCTCTCCTTGAGCTCGAGCGCATCCGACGTAGCCCGACTGAAAAAAGAGAAAAGCAAATGTTGATTTTTTCCAACTTTGAATATCAGTTCACTCCCCCTCTTCCTTCTCATGCATTTTACCAAAACTTTCCCATGTGACCCCCTGGAGCCCACTGTAACAGATGACCTTCATGTGCACAGATTTACACTCTTTTTCCCATGGTGCAAAAATAATGGACATGACATGAGCATTCCAAAATTAGACTGTAATGTGAGTTTTTATTTAAAGTTAATTGTTATATTATAGTTGTACTGATACATGTGCTGGTAGTGGTATTTGTATTTCATACATCTACACTTGAATCTGTCTCGATAATTGTTAGTGTGATAACGATTATGGACACGTTTTGATTTAGTTTGTGTGCTCTTACCCTAACTTAAAACAGTTAAGAAGAATTCGAGCATGTTATTTCCTTGCTGTAGGAAAGTCTAATCAATATTTGTGAACATGAGCACAACCCAGAAACCAAAGAAATAAGTTTCAAATGTACTTCCTGTTCAGGATCTGCCCCATAGACAATGAATGGGAGACTGGTTTCATTGACCCACAGATTGTTTGCTAAAGCTAAAAAAAATGTTTTGTCCATTCCCTCAGTTGTAATTCAGAAAGTCTTCATAGTATCCCTGGCTATTCTGTGTTTCCCAATGATTTGTCTGTTGAGCTTTCCAGACTTTATTCAAATAAAATTGTCCTCACTCTAGTTTTTTGCTTTCTTTTTGGATTTAATTTTTTCAAAATGGCTAAGAGTTCATGCTAACTAATATGTTTTAATGTCTTAAAGTTAAACCATATATATCATGCACTGTACAGAGTTTTGAATGTTTCACTTTAAGTTTATCTCCATAGTGAACCTATTCAGAACTTTTCAATCGCCCAACTTTTGACAAACCTTGTGACTCTTTAAATAACCTGTAATTGCTCTCATCATTAAAGGCATGAGCTTTTAGTGCATTGTGCAGCACTTTGTCCTTACACGGTAATTGCACAAAGTGCCGGTTTGGCCTGGGGCATAACAGCTTCAAACTCTTGGTATTTTAATGCTCATTTGACTAATTCACAACAAAAGTGTCCTCTGGAATGTGTGAAATGTATACAGACAAAGATTTCACGCTTAGATTTCACAGTTTATGAATAGAGAGCTTATAATTCACAGTATACAAAAGTGTTATTGTATGTTTTGCAAGATGTCGTTTTATCTCTTTTAAGATTACGCAATTTGAGTGGATAGCAACTGGATTTACTAGTTTGGATTCAGTTGGAAATTAACTTTTACATTGCAAAGATTACAAAAGAAACACTGGAGGTGTTCCATCAACAGGAAACCAGTCCCATTTTTTCACAGTGTGTCCATTGTGTGGTCACAGCAGGGGTCCTACACCCGGCCAGGCTGGTTAATAAAAGAGTTTTAATAATAATAGGAGTGTGAAGTAAAGAGGGAGGCAACTGAGCGAGAGCAGATTCATAATGCCTCTCTCTTTCTATCTCTTCTTTAGAGTGTGTATGTTGGTGTTCACATCTGTCAACATGCTCATATTGGTGTGTGTGATGTGTCGTACCGGCCCATGCAGGCATTTCACAGACAACCATGGCAACAAGACATAAAAAACTGAATTATTCAGTGAGCTTGTCTGAAACTTACAGTTGGGTAAGCACAGTTGGACACACACACACACACACACACACACACACACACACACACACACACACACACACACACACACACACACACACACACACACACACACACACACACACACACACACATACAGTAACGTAAACATTCACATAGCAAAGACATGCAGTCACTCTCACACACGATCCTTTGCACAAACCAAATGTGTCACCAGGTTATAGAGTAAAACTTTTTTTTTTCTTTGATATTTGAGTCTTTCCACTACATGTCAGACAGACACTGCAGAAGAAGTCAGTATGATGTACGCATGCAACATTAAAACTGTTGTGGCCATGAGGAGAGTGAAAGAGGAACCATGCACGGTATGATGCATATGTGTGAGAAAATGTAATGAGCTCAAATAATCTTACTAAGAAGCTCAAGCTTGCAAACAGCCAGAAAACGGATCTTATTAGATTGCATATCCCTAAGCTTAAGCACCGTGAGAGACCTATACATCACACAGGTTGGATATTATACTGTACTGCATTGGACTATAAGATTGTCACAAATATCCTCCCCGGAATCATTTTTTTGAACTAAAAATAATGGCATCCTGTTTTCACTTGACTTTAAGCTGCACACATTTATATTGCATACCAGATATAGATCTTTTTAAGTGAACATCCGTTTTAGGAAAAAACAATCTTAAATAATTAAACACAAATAAATCGTAATGTCCTCCTGAATGAATTATAAATAAACAAAAAGCAACATTGTGTGAGTCTGAAGGAAAATCTATTAGTAAAGTAAGCCCTACATAGACATATAGGGTAAGTACATAAGCGGAAGAGACTTATTTTCTTCTAAGATCGCTTCCATGGAGCAGCTAGAGCAATATGAATACATCCTCAGGAGTTGAGGAAGTCATCCTCCCATAGGGGGGAGCTGTTCCCTCTCATGTCATCACTGGGAGAAACTACCTAGGCCTACTACCTGCAACACTTTTTATCCACCTTGTTTCTTGCCAATGCATTTTCTTTTGAATAAATTAGAATCCGGTTACATGTTGTTTATGATTATAGGCAAAAAATAAATGTCCTTTGTCCTTTTTCCATAAGGAGGTCAGAGGTCAAAGTCTAATAACCTCTGAAAACCAATTAACCAACATCAAAAATAAAAATACATTTAAAATATAATAATAATCAACAGCAAAACATTACAAAATCAAAAGCAAGAACACATATAGTATAGCAGATGAGGGGGACAAGGAAATGAAGCCAACAGATTGCTAAACAAAATGAAAGAGGTGTAAAAAAGGATTTATGACACAAGGTATTGTTTAAATTATTTGACATATAACCTATTCGATAAATACACAAGCATATGACGTCAGCATTAATTGAAAAAAAGTGAAATCCAAGACTGTATTTTATTATGTTGTATATTATGGTTTCCATTTTATTCACTCTCATTATTTCAGGGTGTAGATTTAAACAATGTTCCTTTAATTGTGTGCTAGACTAGAGTCTTGCTTTAGTTTATACCATTGATTGACCCTGATTCCCTTAAGAAGAGATCCACTTTCTCACTGTTGTGCAATCCAGCTAGCACCATACTCCACTCAGCCACTAGATGGCAGTATAGGAGTATATTGCAGACATGTGACAATGATAAGGAATACAAATCATGCTTTCAGTTCCCTTTTGTGGAGCATTTTTGGGCTGCAGGGGGGAGTACTAACAGCTGGATATAAACTCATTTGGACAGAGTGAACTGATGAATGGAGCTATGAGGAAATAAGTGCATCATATCCATCTGCAAGTCTATGAAAAACCTCTTCTGAGGAAACCGTTATCAGCACATTTGATATCTATGGTCGACACTAACCTTGCATTGTCATGGAGACGGATGAGTTCAGTCTGCTGTGAACTGTCAGAGTCTCTGAAGGCCAAAAATCTCAGCAGTAATCTGATCAAGTTTGTATTGCTACTGTTGACTGAGTCAGGCCTTTTTTTATTAAAGCCAGTGTGTGTACTGTACATGTGTGTGTTTCTGTGTGTGTGTCAAGGGAGGGGGCAGTGTGTGGTGACACAGTGAATATGCCTGTGTGTCTTTATACAATGTGTCTTTGTGAGTCCTTGGCTCTGCGTTGGAGAGAAAGAGCTTTCTGTTCGGGGGTCTTCCCTTTCTCCCCAACATCTTGTCTCTCACTTTGTTCCTTTTTAACCTTTTTCATTAACTGTTGCTTTTTTGATTAACACCCCTTTATTCTTTCTTTTTATTGTCTTTCTTTCTGTATGTGTTACAGAGAAAATAATGACTTCCTCTGTAAATACCTAAACATGATTAGATCTCATATTCGCTCCAGTCACATTTCCAATGAATATAAACAATCTGTCCCTTTTGCTCATTTCCTTCCCCTCACATCCTCTTCTGTTTTGTGCCTATTTCATAAAATGGTCCTTTCTTTTTGCTCTCTGTACTTTATCTCAGTCTTTTGTGTTCCTCTGACGGGGGCTTTTTGAGGACACTGCAGCTGTTTAATGGCAACGAGTCTGATAGACCATTGGCACTCAATGGCATAACATAGGATTCTTCTTCTCAATTCCATTACACAAATGTCATGCAAATCCATTGATAGAAAGTACAGATTCTCCACAGTGAAGTGAAAACGTTGACATGATGGTGGTTAGAAACTCAGAGAATCACCAACATCATAAGGGTTCATCCTCTGGGGATCATGGATAGTGTACCACATTTCATTGCAACCTATGCTTAGTGGTGAAGAAATGTTACTTCAAAATGTCTCTTGGTTGTTCAAGAGGAGTAGTAAGAATATCAGATATTTAGTGGACTGACTGACAGATATGAAAACCACATACAAAATGACAAACTTCTAATATGGACACAGTTCTTGTACATTATATCCGGTTACACAGCACTTTTTTCAGAGCAGAGCCGAAGCAACCTCACCAAAAACATATTTCTGGGTACAGTCAGAAAATCACTGAAAGTAGTACAATGAAAATGAAACTGAGTGGGAATGAAAAGGGAAAAAACATCCTGCTCGTCTGAGTGTACTTTAGAGTGCAAAATGTTCCTTATTCTATGTTTATTCAGATGAGTACACTGTCAGATAATCCAAACTGAGCTGGACACCTGTTGGAATGAGTAGCAGTAAATGAGAAAAACCCAGAAGAGGAAGAGAAAGGCTACGAAATAGAGACCTTAAGAGGGAATCGAATGGTAAAAAGGGAGAAAGAGGGGTGAGGGGAGCTCTCTATTGACACCACAGGTGCCTGCACTTCAAATGCAGCGAAAAAATAAGTTAATTTGTGTGGATGAGACAGGAGAGATACTGTGTGTGCGTGTATTTTATTATGCACGCAGAGAAACACAATACCCCTGCTTATGCATGTGTGCTGTGCTGTTGAAAGAATGCATTTGCATGTGTCCACCTTTTATTCGTTTGTTGTCATTTGAGAGGTTGTGTGTGTGTGTGTGTGTGTGTGTGTGTGTGTGTGTGTGTGTGTGTGTGTGTGTGTGTGTGGTGGTTCAGATTAATCAACAAGTCTAACCTGGACTCAGTTACGGCTCTGACTTAGACACACGCCGCTCAGGTGCACACACACACACACACACACACACACACACACACACACACACGCACACGCACACACACAATCTGTCTAGCTGCTGAATTTTTAAACAATGTGTCTCCTGCTGGATGCGTGCACCTCCTCAGGGTCATGTAACTATGACACCAGCTCTTTCTAGACACGGATATGCAATTTTCATTCCATGATAGATTAATATCGGATGATTCCTGTGGATTTTCTTTGAATTTCCTCTTCCTCGCTGTGGTTTTTAGAAACACCAGGCAGTCAGTCAGCAGGCAGCAGCATAGCAGACATTCCTGCCGGGTGTAGTTAGGGAGTTGGAGAATGGCAACGTTGGCCAAAAAATCTGTTAGGGTTTTTTTTTTTTTTTGAACTTGTAATGTTGCCTGGCAGCGGGATTTGGACGGGTCGGACTGTAACTGTGCCTTCCTTCTTGTTCACACGCTTCTTTAAAACATGAGACGCTGCAACTGATCAGGAAGAGGAAAGTAACCTGGTGACTTCCAGCGGCTTCAATTACCTCCCTACAAAATCCACCCAAAACTATATTTCCTATTAATTTGATGCAGATAATACTATTGTTTAAAAATGACCTTCATGTGTTTTTCCAATATGCAGTTCCATGACTTAATAATATCATTGGTTGCATGAGTAATCCGTATCAGTCAACAGCAAGATGAATGATTTAAAGCAGAGTTATTTATATGATCAAAACTTTGAAATCCTGTAGACAGTAAGCAGGAAATTACTCTATTTCTACAGGCATGTTTTGGGGTCTTTGTACCAGTTTTATTTATCCTTTTTTGAATTGCCGGTATTTGACATCTCACGTTTCTAATAACTAACAGATTGAGAGTTAACATGCAGCATATTAAGGAGCATTAAGAGTGCTTTAATCTTGAATTGACCCTTAAATAGCAAGTAGTAGCTTTACACTTAGCGAACAGACATGACAGTGATAGTGATCTTTTAAAAAAACAGCATTGTTTCCTTGTTACCCGTCGTCGAAGGCCTAACATAGAAACTATCTTAAAGAAAACAAAGAACTGCTTACACTTTATTTTAGATGTTTAGATGCCTGGAGATGTGAATGGATCTAGTTATATGTGGATGTATACTCTTACAATAAACTTGGATTATTTTTGTATTCAGCACTGTGCTATAGAATGCCAAAACCCTCAAGTTTCATACCTATACTGCTGAAAGTGTGTTAATAAAGTGCTCATTAAAGGGGCAATTTAAATATTCAATACATAAGATTTGCATAATTTCCTCTGTAAAGAAGGCTTTTCCAAAGTTTAGAAAAAAATGTCATCTTCGTGGTTATTACAAAGTGGCCAAAAACACATTTACAATGGCAATTGAGAGATTGTAAACCTCCGCTAAGGCCATTTCTATAATTAAATAGAAAAGCGTGCATGATACGGAAACGTAATTCTGGGCCCATGCTACACCTTTCCACAAAGTTTCGTAAAACTCAGACCTATTATTTTTCTGTAATCCTGCAGTCAAACAAAGTGCAGATAACTTAAATTGAAAGGTTTAATGAAAGACATTTGAGAGTTGCATTGTGGGACATGTAGGAATTTTGGAGCTAGGGACCAAAAGTCAGGATATCTAAACCTTTGCTAATATCGACTATCTTCTTTTAATCTGACTGAAAATCTGAAAATTGTACAAATTGTATTCAAGTACAATACTAAATTCCCAGAGAACACCTTAAAATTGCAATTTTTTTTGATATTTCAGTAGTAATGAAGTGAAAATTAAACGTTAGCAAACATTAAGCAAATAGAAAGTGAAAATCATTATCATGCAATTGTCATGTTCATGTTAGTATATTCATACTGTACATTTTAGGAGACAGGAACTTGGATTAAAACACACCCCTTTTTTACTTAAATTGTGACTCCCCCCCTCTCTCATTCCTCATTCACTCAGTGCTATCTGACGCTGTCCTCTCTCTCTCCTCTCTGGAATCTTCCCCTTTTTTTCCACAGAAAACATGCAGGGAGGAGAGGAGGAGGAGAAAAGAAGAAACTCGTCGGAGGCGACAAGAGAGAGAGGAAGCAGAGAAAGTTAGAGGAGCGAGAGGAGAGGGGTCGAGCAGATGGGAGGAAGGAAGGAAAGGATCTCTCTGCGGGCTCAAGTGCGCGATTAAAGGATTGTGCGTAAATAAACAAATGAATCAAAGCCTATAATACAATAAAAAAAGGGGGAGTTGTATGCGCGCCAACGCGTTGCGTGGACGCGGACAAGACAGCGCGCTGAAACAAGTCCTGTGTTTCTCTCTGGATTTTACTCCTCATGTTCCTCAAAGTCTCGCTGCTGTGTAGTAACTTTTCGGTTTGAAAATCTCCCCCCCCCCTCACCCTGTCGGTTCACTCTCTCCCCGGAAAAGAAGCTCCGGGGTGGAAGTTGGAGGAAGGAAGCGCGGTGTTTTGTTCCTTCCGAGGAGTCCAGCTCGCCTTAGCCGGGGTTTAGGCGTTGGCAACCGGCAGGGAATACCTTGCCATGGCCGGGGCCAAGCCGGGAGTCCACGCGCTGCAACTCATGCCCATGTCCGTCCACGAAATGCTGAAGAAGGGGGGGAAGTTCATCAAATGGGACGAGGTGAGACATGAAATGTTTGTTTTCCTCAAAGTTTAATACACGTGTCGCCTCGCGAGTGAAACAAAACATGTTTCTCAGTCAAGAAGGGCAACTAAAAAAAGACAAGAGACAGACACCGTGAGACATGACAGCTTTTTGACAGAATGCACACTGTTGTGAAGTGGGCACGAGACTGGTGCGTGTGTGTTTGTGAGTATTTGGAGTGCAGGTGTGCCTCATAAACAAACAAAAAAACCTATACACCTTTTTATATGTATGAGTGTGTTTTAATCAGATATTGTAGTAGAAAACTCCCCTGTAGTTGCCAGCTGTCTGTTGTGTTGAATTGTTGTCAAACCGGTTTTTCTCGGGCTCATGTTCAGTTCAGACGCCCTCATGCATCCTCCTTTCCCCTCCTGTGTCCTTCTCTTTCTGTACTCCCCCCTTATCCCCAGAGGATAAGAGGAGAAAGCACCTGCTTGTAGAAGTTACCTCCATTTGAGAGTGCACCTAGAGCTCTGAAATGTCCCCTTTTTAAAAACGTTCCATGTGTGTTCTGTTTTTGTTTTCCATGAGTCTCTAAATCACGTCATTAGAAGTTTTCTTTATTTGTTCGGCTCTATTTTTCCTTAGTTCTGTAGCGGAGAACTACATACATGATTAGCAGCTTGTCTGGCAGTCCTAACATGTGCCTGCACCGTGTCATTGACCATAATAATTTGTGTGTGTGTGTCAGTCAATGATTAACTAAGTTGCTGACTGATCTGACTCGAACTGTAGCCCTGTGTCTTCCAACAGTGGCATGCAGGAGTTTGTGTGTGTGTGTGGTTTGTCGTCCAAATGTATTTATTAGGCTTAAACCTCTTGATATGTAACCTTTCACCATCACATATAATTATCAAAATGGCAACTTTTCATCAGACAAACAACTCAAACCACTTGAATTAAACAAAAGTTATGACCACAATTTGGCCATAAATAGATATGTAGGTTTTAACAGTGTGAGCTTCGTTCAGCAGTTCATCTCAAAGGAAGAAGACTGGGCGTGTTTAAACATATCAGGTTATGAAATGAGTGCAATTTATTCTAATCTGCTGTCAAAAGTGTCCAATTGCTGAGCTCCAGCACGGGAACGCATGGTGGAAAATCAAGTGTGTTTATTGCGCTTCCTTACCAATAAATACGTGTCACTGTACTAAATTGTAAAGTGTGACGTTTGATTTAGCTTATATCTCATAAATAAAGCAGTGTATCTTTGATCCCGTCCATGCCACACAAACTGTAACTTATGAATGTGTGTGATTGTGCGTGGATCCTCAAATATTAATCAGTTAAAGTGAATTGTCCAAAAAGGTTGTTATCAAAGGTGTTGTCATAGCCTACCTTGCAAATAGAAGGTCAGGTGTGGTGTATCATGCACACACGCAAAACAAAGTGTTATGTATAAAAACGTACTTTTTTTACTCTCTTGAAAAAATACCCTCATATATGACCGTTTTCATGCTTTCTTCCAGCATGATATAAAAAAATATCTTATCAAAGGGAATATATTTGGATTTTGAACTGATAAAATAGGACATTTAAAAAAATACTTTGGATTTTAAGAAATCCGTTGGTCATTTTTCACAATCGTCCAACATTTTGTTGGCTAAAAGAGTTATCTGGAAATAAATGACAGACAAATTGAGACTAAAGATAATAGGGAGCCCTAAAACCCAGCTATCAGCAGCAGAGCGTGACACACACTGTCATCATGACGTGATGTGTTTGTGTCTGGCTTCAAAATAAGGGTCTTGCATACCACGTGCTTTTGATTTCCTTTCCCTCTCTTTCTCACACACACTGACTCTCTCTCATTGGGAATTCCCAGGAAATGGTTATGCTGGTGAGAAAGTGTGTGAACACTCCAAAACATAAGCATGTTTTCTCCCTGTGTGTCTTTACCCCATTGAAATCAACATCTGAATTATGGAAAATATTTAGTTTTGGAGACGACACATCTGGGAGAGGAGGGATGTGGCTGAGATGAGAGAGAAGGAGAAATTAGAACTGTCAGTTTTCCAAAATAATGAAATCAAACAGGAATGCTTTGTATTCAAAGCCAAATGTCCTTGTGTTTTGTCCCAGAAGGTTGTTTTTTTCAGATTTTCAACCGAATGCATCATGTAAATGCTTTATTAGGTAAAAATAAAATCAGAAATTCTGTATTGGATCACTCCAAAGTTGCTCCATCACACTTAAGCATACCATAGTCTCAAACATGAGAACTTTTAAGAACTTATTGCTGTTATACTGATGAATATTGTATGAACTCTTATTTCATCTGGAAGTCTCTTGAGATGTCCATCTGTTTTATGAGAGAGAACTGCCACAAACAGCGGTGCAGTGCTAAAAGATTCACGTGAAAATTGATTTACAACTTTCTCACACAGCAAAGGCATATAGTATATTATTATAGGGCCCGCGGGGCATAAAGGAGAGAGTTAACTATTAAACGCAGTCGAATTAGTCGCTAAACTTTTTCTTAATATGCCATTCAAATGCCTGGTGTGAAGGCAGTGTTTCTGAATCATGTAAGTTATTCCAAAACCAAGGTACTTTCTTTTACAAGTTCAGAACACTGGGGGGGAATCATAAGGTCATCCATATCAAGCTAAGCATGACTCAATCTAAACAAAGAGAAATCTCCCCAACTGTGCTTCAGAAATAATAAAACCACAGGGAGATTAATTCATTAAGGTTAATATTTGAGATGTATAGATTACTTGGACATATTATAAATCTAATAAAACGTAGTGTGGCGGTGCACATGGTGTATTTTAGCGTCTGTCTGTGCTTTAACAGGGAAGTTGACCAATGGGCCAAACTTGGTGTTCTCCTTTAAGGACTTAGCAAAGTGAGAAAAGAACGAGGACACACATACAGAGAAAGTGCCCGAGGGCAGTCCCGTTTGTTTATATGAAAACCCCACTTTTGACCCCATCCCTCACATTTCACCCCCTTCCTCATCACCGTGTCCTCCCCCCTATTACTTCTTCATCTTCTGTCTCTTTTCGTTACATCTCTTTTTCCTTCTTCACTTTTCAATCATGCACTGATCTGTCGCTGAGCTGCTGCTGTAGGCCATCATGACACACACTGACTCATGCAGGGGGGGAGGAGGGGGCGGGGGAGGAATGCACTACAAACTGACCGTCTTTCTTCAGTGTTTCAGCGTGTGTGCTCACATGTGTGTGTGTGGCTGTTTTGTTCTGGGTGTGTGTCTCACTTTGAATGACTTCCTGTTCAAGCTTGTTTTAAGGCTCCGGAGCCAAACCGTTTTCCTACCCTCTCTCCTTCTCTCCTTCCCTCCCTCCCCCTGCTCCGTCTCCGCCCTCTGCAGCCCGGCCGCAATTCAATTTAGATGAACTCCAACTGGAATTCAGTTAAAATTCCTTCCAAACAACCAATTAAACACAAAGAGACAGACAGATTGTCTACAGAGCAGCTCTGCTCTCTGTCAGAGTGGAGGGCACAAAAGTCAAAAGAATCTTCTTTACACCTTGCAGAGTTTTCAGCATTTGTTCAGCTGGATTATATTTGCACCTGTGTTCAAATACACTTCCACTATGCAACTTCCCTGTACATAATGTGCATTTGCATGCTTTCAAATATGCACTTAATAGGCACCCTTTGTAAAAGAAGAATTTGACCCGCGTCACAAAAACTAGTTTATTCTTCTTTGTTCAGAACCACATGGGAAAAGAGCAGTTTTTTTGGATTTGATTTGTTTATGTTCACATGGCACAAATAAAAGCGAACCACGGATTACAAAGCTTATATCAAATGGAATCAATAGTAGCTCATTAGCTCGACAATAATTTTGTGACGGTTTTGGCTCCAGCTAAAAATAACTGTAACTTGAGCGAAGCATGATGCACCATAAGATGTTTAATTTTGAAGCTGTTTCCTGCTAATTGTTTGGGGTTGTTCAGTCCGACCGCACCTCAGTTCCCTGAGAGGAGCGTAGAGCGATAATCTTGGCAACAGTTGAGGACAGTAAAGACATGTTAATGCTGCTGTTGTCCTCAGTGTTTATCATTACTCTGTTGCCAAACCAAACGGAGTGCAGACGCTCATCCTCCATTCATAAATGTCCTGACCTGGCATTTTTTAGATCTAATGTTTTCACCATCCACATCTAGTTTGAAGATACTCTTAAGGGCCCTCATGCTGCATTTTGAGTGATCCACGCACAACAGGGTTATTTTCATTATCCGTAACTCTTAACTGTATCAACTTGAAACATTGGAAACGGAAAAACCTGAACAGGCAGAATGCAATTAGCATTGTCAGAAAGACTTGGCTAGAATAAATTAACTGAAATGCTTAATGTTATTGACTGAAACTAGACTCAAATTCTATGGCGTTCTTGGACTAACATCTGACTTAAATGCCCGTATTCAATTAAAACATGAAAAACAGGATTAGGTTTAATAAATATGGACACAGGACAAAAAATTTGTGAAAATCAGAGCTGACTTTAAATCATTTATTCCTATAGTTAGTTGAAATTAACCAAATATGTAGTAAATTGTGGTTTGGATGATCATCAGTGAGTCAGACTTAATTGAATGTGTGCCAAGCTATGCTACGAACGCTTCTTCAGGTATTAAAAACAGTCGATTTATGGAAATGTATGTTTGTTTTCTAACTGAGACCAAGACCAACCCCACTCTTACGTCTGTATGGTAAACACGAAGTGGCAGCCAGTTAGCGTAGCTTAGCATAAAGCACTAGTTAAAGGCTCAGTTCTAAAGCAAACTCACACCCAGATTCCTTAGATTCATAGAGAAATGATTAGGTTAAATCAGTCCCTGCAAACATTACAACTATTCACTTAAAAAAATACCAGCTGTTTCCGGTCTTTATGCTTTTAAGCTAACAATGTGGTTACAATCTTCTGATGTAACACTCAAAGCCAATTAGAGGACTTCTGCTCGTTTGAGGGCGCCATTGTTGACCTCAGAACCAGTTTAATG